GTACACTCTTATAGAAGATGGTACCTTCTCTATTTAGTTCTGCAGCTCGAACTATTTTCTCCAGAAGCAGGTTGAAAAAGTCGCACGATAAGGAATGGCCTTGTCTGAAACCTCGTTTGGTATCGAACGGCTCGGAGAAGTCCTTCCCGATTCTGACGGAGCTTTTGGTGTTGCTCAACGTCAGCTTACACAGCCGTACAAGTTTTGCAGGGATACCAAATTCAGACATTGCGGCGTAAAGGCAGCTCCTTTTCGTGCTGTCGAAAGCAGCTTTGAAATCGACGAAGAGGTGATGAGTRTCGATTCTCTTTTCACGGGTCTTTTCCAAGATTTGGCGCATGGTGAATGTCTGGTCGAAAAAAAGATCACACTTGCAATGAAGTTAGAGAGCGTCTGCATAGAGATGACCATAGATATCGACGGAAGGTGTATGGTCGCGAAAGTTACCATCAGACTCTTTCCGAGMTGCTGGAGTTTTAAACGAAAAACCCTGAGCATTCAGAAATCCTCTCACGCTATATCAGATATTTGTGGATGCATAGCAGCAGCTGGAAGAGAGGGGCAAGGAACTGCTTTACGAATGGGTCAAATCTTTGTTGGGAAGGTTGTTGGAGAAGTATATTGTCAGGAACTCTCTATCAACTCTAGTTTCAGACTGCCTGGCAGTATTTTCTTTGATAGCAGGACGGCGATATTATCTTTGAGCTCACTGACCGTGGATTCAGGTCTGATTAGGGAATGTCTAACATCGTTATCAATGGCACAGAATTACTTTGTGATAAGACTAGCTGTTCTGAGCCACTGCGGCATTGCATTGATTGAAATTAAACTTCTGACAGAGGTTTCCAAAACGGCATCATCACAGTTTATTTGAGAAACAAGGCAAATAATAGTAAATATGTTTGAGGTATTCTCGATAAACGACTCTTTATCACTCATCCCAACATATAGTATACGTTATACCCTATATTCTAGTACAACTAATGATCGCATTTCCGTTAAGCTGCWTCTTCAGCAATATTTAATGTCATCCATATTAAACACATATATTAGGCAACTTGTGCATTGGCAACCTTCAACTATATGATGTTTTTTGTTTTGTTTCTGTTTGCAACCAACCTTTTCGGCGTTCGGTAAATTTAAACTGTATGTATGTTTATAGTTGTATATATAACCCACGTTTTTTCGTTGCTCCTAATAAGATTTACTTGCTTTTTCTGCTTCGTCAGGCCACAGGTTTTGTCGGTCTGCACTTTTCACAATGTTTGTTGTTCAGTTGCTTATATGTATTTCTTGTATTGCTTTTGTTTGTATGCTGTTATTTGCAGCAAGTTGGTTAGCTCTTTGCTACTGGCCAATTGCGCTTGTGCATCATGTTCAACAAAT